TGATGGCTGACCTTCTAACTTTTCACAGCAGGAAACTTCTCCAAAGACCACAAATCCCAAATAGGTCAGCACTCTCCTATAACCAGCCAGACATTGGAAGTGGCTTGGTGACATTTTAAACATTCTTTATCATGTTGGAAACAAGCTTTGCATGTAAATCCAGGAACTTCATGGTGTTCTGTGCCTGCATGCATTCTTAAATGCCTGCAGCAAACATTTGCACATAACAGAGGAACCTGGGAAATGTACCAAGTCCTCATCTTGAATGCAAATTCTATGCACAGACAGGAAATGACAGGGGTGTCAAGCTGATGGCCTACAGGCCACGCCACTCCAGCTTCACAAGGGGGAAAAACATCACAAAATGCCATGTGACAGCAACATGATGCCACAAATTTCACACCCATGATCTAAAGGGTTTGATTCCAAATCTTACAACAAGACTTTAGGGTGCAACACCCTAAAGCTAGGAATAAGAGCCACCTGGCCTCCTGTTTGCAACTCCTTCAGTACCTGCAAAATTACACTGCCAAAATGTGCTGGCAAATCAACCAAATCTGGGGAATGAGGTTGCAGGTGTCCTCACTCCATATAAGGCAGGGGTCCCCAAACGTGGCAACTTTAAGACTTATGGACTTCAAGTCCCAGAATTCCCCAGCCAGCAGAATTTTGGAAGTTGAAGTCCAGAAGTCTTAAAGTGGCCAAGTTTGAAGACCTCTGATATAAGGGATTGTTGTTCTGGGCCACATTTTGCTGACTTTTTGCAGGTTTTTAAAGGCGGTTGGACGCAATCGTTATTCCCATTCTTGCCTACTGCTGTGCAAAATAAATACATGAATAACTTTTAGTCTTTGGGAAATACGTTGATTCTTTGGGGAGGTTTATCCTGTTATAATAGGGACGCGGTGGCTCAGTGGCTAAGATGCTGAGATTGTCGATCAGAAAGGTCAGCAGTTCGAATCCCTAGCACTGTGTAACAGAATGAGCTCCCGTTACTTGTCCCAGCTTCTGCCAACCTAGCAGTTCGAAAGCACATAAAAATGCAAGTAGGAAAATAGGGACCACCTTTGGTGGGAAGGGAATAGCGTTCTGTGCACCTTTGGCATTTAGTCATGCCGGCCATATGACTATGGAGACATCTTTGGACAGCACTGGCTCTTCGGTTTTGAAATGGAGATGAGCACCTCCCCTGGAGTCGGGAACGACTAGCACATATGTGCGAGGGGAACCTTTACCTTTATCCTGTTATAAGGCATATATCTACTTTCCCCTGCAAATTAGATGTCAAAACTATTAGATCCCACAGAACTTGTGGCTAAATTGCTACCATTCCTCCTACTCTGCCTGCATTCCCTTCCCCCTTAGGGGTTCTTGGAACTGATCTAATAATATGGGAAATCTAGCCAATGAGTAAAATGACCAGCCGATCCCATCTTTGAAGCTCTTAGCTGCAACCCCAAATAAAGAAGCTTGTTCGTGTGTGATGCTGCTTCTCATTTCTCCTGCCAGCTTGCATTGCTGTATCCTTCGAATTTGCAGAAAGCTGCTTTCCTCTTTCTTTCCATCCTCTTTCTGATGCACGCAATAGACCCGCTTTTTCCTGTTCAGTAGGAATTCTGGGAATGACAATCCCTGCACAGTTGATTATTCCAAGGCAGGAAAGGTTGCATTGTGTCTTCCCTGGACAAACTCACCTTTGGCTACTGGAAGGTTAATCCTTTCCTGCAGTCTCTCCAGAGGTGCTCTTGTTCTTTGAGGAGGGCTATAGCTTGAAGGTGCTGCACATGCTTTGCATGGAGAAGGTCAGTCCTGGATGGTGTTTTTTTTTAGGGGTGTGTGTTTGTGTGTGAAAAACCCGTCTTAGGCAACCTGCTGCTAACTGGACTGTGGTGTGACTCTGTTTAAGGTTCTTGTGTTCCTGCTTCAGCATCCTTCTGTAGGCCTCCTCCCTCCCCAAAGCCCTTCCCTCTGTTGCTGCTCTTGTCGTGACCGCCTTTACTGAAGCCTCAGTATAGTAGCTGCTCTTTGGTGGCTAAGTAGGGCAGAGTCTGGAGAGATCCTTTGGTTCCCAAAGTTCTCCCGTCCTTGAAAGATGTTGCACTGCATCATCTTTCATCCCTGACAGACCTCTCTCCGCCTGCAGAAGTCCAGGAGATGGAAGAGCAAGCGTGAGGGGACCGAGACCGGCAGCCGGCCCATCAAAGCAGCTGGCAAAGTCATCATCCAGGACATCTCCTGCCTGCTCCCTGTCCATAAATCCTTAGGGGAGATGTATATGTGAGTACCTGCTCAATTTGCCTCACACCATGGTGGAATGGCGGTTCGAATGCGGTATTGCAGGCTGAGTCTGCTCACTGCCAGGAGTTCGATCCTGACTGGGTCAAGGTTGACTCAGCCTTCCAAATATATATTCTGGGATAAAATGGAATGAAGGCTGTAAAGCACTGTGAAGCAGTATATAATAACTGCTGTTGTTATCGCTATTGTTACTTTTGGAGAGAGGCAGGCCCGGCCACCTCATCCTAGTGGGAAAAAGAGGGGAATCACAGGGGGATTGTACTCTGAAATTTAGGGGTGCCAAGAATTTATCTACCTGAGGACCAAGCATTTGGCTTCTGCTCAGAAGATTGACTTCTTAAAGCGCCCCATAGCCCCCCAAAAGCAAAGGCCTAGGGAAGAACAACACAAAGCTCCCTTCTTGGATTGGCACATGTTGCCCATCCTTACGGAAATCCTCTCCACTTTTCATTTTATTATAAATTTTCAACAAACAGCTTGCCTGGCAGTCCCTGATGTTACTGATAGGCTGTACCCATGAGATAAGCCATAATGCATCTTGCATGAACAAGAATTGACTGGACTCTCTCAGAGAGAGAGTCGCACATATGTGCTGGTGGTTCCTGACTCCAGGGGGCGGTGCTCATCTCCATTTCACTCCCCTAGGTTGGTTTTGGTTTTGGTTTTGGTTTTCAATAGAGTCGGTCAGTGATGGCAAACCTTTTTGGCACCGAGTGTCCAAACCAGAACGTGTGTGCATGCGTGTGCGCCAGAGCGCCAGAAACCCAAAACCCCGTTGGCTGGTGCGCCCTGGCCAGCTGGTCTTCAGGTTTCCAGCACCCACATGCATGCTGGCCAGCTTGTCTTTGTGCACCCCGGAGGACCGGAAATCCGAAGGCTACCTGGCCAGCACGCACATGCCTGTTTTTGGCCATTTTTCGGACCTGTTTTTTTTTGGCCCAAAACAGCTGGAAAACAGTCCACAAAAGTCCTGAAAACGGCCCCCAAAATGGGCTCAAAACAGCCAAAAAAATGGCCTGTTTTTAGCCATTTTCTGGTGCCTGCGAAGACCAGCTGCCTGATGCACATATGCATGCCAGAAACCAGAAGAGCAGCTGGCGATGGCGCGTGTGCCCACAGAGAGCTCTGCGTGCCATAGATTTGCCCTCACGGGACTAGGTGCTGGAAAATGAAGGTTCTCCACCTGGCACCTGGGAGTTCTGCAGAGGAGAACATCCCTCAGCCACCCCTCTTCTCTTTCAGACTAAACGTGGTGGATATTCAGGAGACCTGCCAGAAGAACGCTGCCTCAGCCTTGACAGTGGGACGCCGAGACCTCTTGCAGGTGCTGCTTCTTCTCCATCACTTTACAGCAGGAGTCCCCAATCCCTGGGGCGTGACTGTGCAAGAGGCAGGCGAACGCACGCAGCTCCATTTTTGCAAATGGTGGGGACTCACACACGCACGTGAAGCTCCGCAAATGGAGCTTCACGTACGCGCGCGAGTCCCCACTGCTCACAAAAATAGAGCTGCATGCGAACACATCTGCCATTTACATGGAGCCATTTCCTCTCCCTCCTCCCCGCTAGTCCGCAAAGCCAGAAAGGTTGGGGACCCCTGCTGTACAGGACTGCCTGGTGACCCCCTACAGCTGAGAGGGGGAGGTGTCACTGAAACAGGAGACCATGGTTTAAAAGAAAAGTCCCTTCTCCCTCACCTCTTCCTCCTGCCTCCCACCCAGAGCCCTCACCTCCTGGGTTTTTTGCTCTTCTCAGACTCCCCTGCCTTCCAGCCCCAGCTTCCCCTGCAAGGGGCTTGTCCAATTCGGGGATTTGAGAATAGAGATGGATAGAACATTTACTTCCTTCTCCCCCCCCCCCTCCCTCCGTGGTTCTTAAGTGAAACACTGCAATCATTAAGTGAACCCTCCAGTCATTAAGCGAATCCAGCTTCCCCTATTGGCTGCACATTGGAAGCCAGCTGGGATGGTCACAATTGGTGATCCTGGGATCTCGGGACGTTATAATTGTAAACACCTGCCGATGGCCAATCCCCCAAGTTTTGATTGTGTGACTGGCAGTGTTGTGATGCGTGTGAACCAATTGTAACTTGGATCAATTACTAAGTGAATGGTTGTAAGTGGAGGACTGCCTTGTATAACTCAACCCCCATCACCAGAAGAGCCACGGCGGCACAGTGGTTAGAGTGCAGTACTGCAGGCTACTTCAGCTGGCTGCCTGCAATTTGGCAGTTCAAATCCCACCAGGCTCAAGGTTGGCTCAGACTTCCGTCCTTAAGAGGTGGATAAAATGAGGACCCAGATTGTTGGAGGCAAGAGAAAGCACAGTAAAGCAGTATATGTCTAAGTGCTATTGCTGTGTAAATCTAAGTGCTATTCCTTCCTTCCTTCCTTCCTTCCTTCCTTCCTTCCTTCCTTCCTTCCTTCCTTCCTTCCCTCCTTCTTGTTAGAATGCAGTATTGCAGGCTAACTCTGCCCCTACCAGGAGTTCAATTCTCACTAGCTCAAGAGGTTGATTCAGCCTTCCATCCTTCTGAGGTCGGTCAAATTAGGANAATAATGAAATAAGAATAGCAATAGAATATAATAGAGCTCCTTCACTCGTGCAGCAGGACAGAAACCTGTCAAGGAAAAAACTAGGCAAGGGTAGCCTTAGAAACCCCATCAGGAACCTAAAGGACCATTTCTGGATCTCATCCTCCAGGCTTCTGGATCCTGCCAACACGCAGCAGTTTGACGACTTTAAAAAGTGCTACGGAGAAATCCTGTATCGCTGGGGCCTGCGAGAGAAACGTGCCGAGGTCCTCAAGTTTGTTTCCTGCCCCCCTGAGCCTCATAAAGGAATTGGTGAGTTGAAGCCTCGGGGTCTCCAGTAGGTAGTCCTCTTCTATTAAGTGGTCTTTTTTCTCCTCAAGGGAAAAGAAGGCCCCGGCAGTTCCAATTCAGCGGCCTAGAATACGGCATCCAGTTTTGGTCACCACACTATAAAAAGAGATGTTGAGACTCTAGAAAGAGTGCAGAGAAGAGCAATCAGAATGATGAGGGGACTGGAGGCTAAAACAGACGATGAATGGTTGCTGGAACTGGGCATGGCTAGTCTAGTGAAGAGGAGGACCAGGGGAGACAGGATAGCCGACTTCCAATATTTGAGGGGCTGCCACAGAGAGGAGGGAGATCAAACTATTCTCCAAAGCACCCAAAGGCCAGACAAGGAATAATGGATGGAAACTGATCAAGGGGAGATTCAATCTGGAAATAAGGAGAAATTTCCTAACAGTGAGAACAATTAATCAGTGGGACATCTTTGGAAGTCGTGGAAGCTTCATCCCTGGAGGCTTTCAAGAAGAGACTGGACTCTGTCAGAAATGGTGCAGGGTCTCCTGCTTGGGTGGGAGGTTGGACTAGATGACCTACAAGGTCCCTTCCAACTCTGTTAATCTGTTAAAACTGCCATTGGGAGTCCACCTTGACCCTCTTCCTGCAATACCAAAGACTCCAAGTTTCTTTGTCTCATTGCTCCCTGGAAAAAACCACCCTTCCTCTTGTGACTACATTCTACCTGAGAGAGGGCCCTCTTCTAGGTTCAGATGCAGGAAAGGGCAGGCCAGAAGTGGGCTCAGGTGCAGCTGTTTTGCATTGAGGCTCTGAGAGGGGTTTTTCCTTCTGACTCTGAACTGTCTGCCATGAAACCAGGAAGGCTCTGGAGGTCTCTCCCTCTCTCCCCCCCCCCTCCCCATTTCATTACTCTGAAAACTTTCTGATGGCAGCATCCGTTTGGTGCTCAATTCCTGGCAGGATGCCAGAATTCAGATTGTCCGACACGGAGGCATCTCTACTTGCCGGCCTTGTGCAACGGCATCAGAACCAGCCACTGTGAAGTTGTGCCATGGGCACAACTTTTCCTTTCCTCTGGAGATATTTCTTAGGATTTTTTTTTCTCTAGCTCCAAATATATTTGGGGCTTTGAAGTCTGGCCTTCGTTCGGTCGAAACGAAGAGCCAGCGGGATCCTGTGTGCGGCTGCATGGGGCCTTTTAACCAGGTTTTATTGAATAAACCCTATTGGCCTGACCCGCATAATGCTTGGCCACAGAGCAACAGGGGCAGAAAGAGAAGCAAGGGCTAGAGTAGGAACTCTGCAGCAGCACTGGGGATTCGTCGGAAACAAGTAATTAATCCATCTGTAAGGATTACCTATCCTAACTTAAGAAAGTGAGGACGCTTGAAACTGAGTATTTCAAAAGGAAGCTTTTATTAACTAAAAGGGAAATAATTCAGTTCAAAGCAACATCTGAATCCCCTTAGGCAACACAAGTGGAATTAAAGCTGTAGAGACCACTCCCATTAGTCAGAGTGCAGATTTTAGCCAATACACAAGTGTGAAAATGTTTCCTTTACCAGCTGCCCTGAGAGCCAAATAAATCTACATTCCCATGGCTATCTTCCGTTAGACATTAAAGTGAAACATCCCACATGGCCATCATAAACATTCCCCCCCAAAGGTGATGGGATCTCGAGGAAACCAGTTGTAAAATATCAGTTGTCACGGGCACTGGTAATAAATCAACTCCAAGCCCCCCCCCGCAATTGAATGACAGTATCACTTTTAGGGATCTGACACCATCATAGCTATTTTACACAATTCATGCTTCAAATCCTCTTGCACTGTCACTCTCTTGCACTTTAGCATCTAATGGCTACGGGGCTCCACAGTTTAAGGATTAGTATTCTATTATAGCTAGGCGATGCTGTGTTTTGTTCGTGTGCAACTGACAGATCGCGTGCCAAATTGTGATTTTAATATAGATTTTATTCATTGTTTATTATTTCATTCTAGATTTTTTTTAACTGGATATTCCTTGAGTGTTTTTTACTTGCTTGGGTCTTTGACTGCAATAAGCACTGACTTTGACTTGAACCCCAACTCCAGTATTTCCTGTTGTTGGAGAACATCTGGCCTGGGGAGATGCTTCCTTTTTGTCAGGGGGTGGGGAGGAGCCGAGG